TAGTGACACATTGCCAAAAGCAGCACTAACCAATTGGGACCAGCTTGAACGTAGCAACCTGAAAGGATGGAGGGACAATCTTTAATTCTAGCTACAATGTCAGCAGCTGGGAAATGTCTCCTACCTTTTGTGTCCTGTTTAGTATATTTAAAAGCAATTTTGTGTCTTTACCATGTTTAAAAGTTTGCCATGTTTAAAGGTAAGATTGAAATGCCACAAACCTACCGTAATACGTACTAAAAAAAGTTAGACCACATTGAACTAGAATTGTGCACTAGCACCAAAATTTGGGTTTGGAATTCAGATTTGGAATTACAGCCCTTCAGATTCCAAACTTTGAATTTTAAAATTTACGAATTTTTGAAGATCCAGAACTCTGTTACAGTCAATATGAGTACTATATAGTCATTATTCTCCCCTTTCAAACACAAGCAGGCAAAACGTTTTTAAAGGATTTCCCTGTGTCCTCTGACGCCTTTCCAATGATTATGCCAAACAAAAAGCGTGCACACCAACAGCTAGCAGTGTCTAGATATTAGGAAATGGGCATCCTGACTGAACCCTGAACAGTGGAAATGACAGCAGCATTGGGGAGGCAGGTTGCATTGGGGAGGGAGCAAATACCTGGGCAGTATGAGCAGGCAGGCTGGAGCAGCAGATAGCCTGTGGTGGGTTAGAGCTATGCCAACAGCATGGGACACAGCACAGTGGGCTGAGCGAGCTCAGTCTTGGAGCAGTAGTTGGACAGAAGGAGGGGGTAGCAGACCAAAGCATGGCACATAGAGTACAGGGAACGGAGTGTGCCACTCTCTCTTCCTTAAAAAAGGATTCCTGGGAAACTCACCAATGTTGATCTTAATGAAAATTAGTTTTTCTACAGACCCTGGTTCCAGGTGTGAGTGGTGTACATTAGTGGTTCTTAACCTTGAGTTATTCAGGTGTTTTTGGACTGCAATTCCCAGAAGCTTCACCACCAGCTGTGCTGGCTGGGATTTCTGGGAGTTGCAGTTCAAAAACACCTGAGTAACCCAAGGGTAAGGACCACTGGTGTAGATTGACACTGTCCTCTGCCTGGGAGAACACACTCTCAATGGGGCACACTAGTTGGTAGGTTAGACAGCAGTCTGACTGACACCTTGGCTAGACCTCCCTCCCCAAACAGATTCCTTCTCAGCCCAGTAAGACCAGGGTTTGGTTTCTTTCGGCTTGCAGGGCTCCTGCATGTACTCCTCTACCTTGGCCTCTGCCCTGTCCTTCCTCTGGGGTGGTGCCTCTGGATGATAGGGCTCTGCTATACTTGTCAAGATGGTGTCCCCTTTCGGCTTGCAGGGCTCCTGCATGTACTTCTGTACCTTGGCCTCTGCCCCGTCCTTTCTCTGGAGTGGTGCCTCTGGATAATAGGGCTCTGCCATACTTGTCAAGATGGTGTCCTAGAAAGCTTTTCTGGTTGTTGCAATGGTAAGGGACTGCAGTTAGGGGTGCTATGAACATTGCTAATTTCCTCTTGCTCCATGTGACACCTCAGTGCCAGCTGGACCTCCTTTACTAGCTGCTGCTGCATGTGATGGAAAGTTGGCTAATATTGCCCCCTCTTGCTGCTGCTTAGTATCCATTGCCTGCTGTTTAATTTGCGGAGTCCAAGCGGATTGCTAGAAGATACTCCTTCTTCCACAAGAAGGCAAACCTGTAGTGGATAAGCTCCTTTTGCATGCTGGCCAGGACCACCATTTCAGCTCAGAAATTTTGCTGTACTTCCTCTATGGAATCCCCCATCCACCTAGACCAGTGATGGTGAACCTTTTTGAGCCGGAGTGCCCATATTGCGACACAAAATTTATTTCGAAGTGCCAATACTGCAATTAAAACCTGAATGCTGAGGTTTTAGTCTAGGAAAAAAAAACTGCTCATGCACTCCAAGGGTTAAATGCTTGGTTGCTTTTTTTTCCTACGGGCGGTATTAACAAATAAATATTTTCGCAAAGGCTTTCACGGCCGGGATCTAATGGTTGATGTGGGTTTTTCGGGCTCTTTGGCCGTGTTCGGAAGGTTGTACTTCCTAATGTTTCGCCAGTCTCTGTGCTCTGGTGTAGTTGGCTTTGGGAGTGCTGTCCTCTGAAGATGCCGGCCACAGAGACTTGCGAAACGTTAGGAAGAACAACCTTCAGAACATGGCCAAAGAGACCGAAAAAACCACAACAACCAAATAAATATTTACTGGTCCTTGAATCTCCCAGTGGCCTAGACTGGTAATGGTCGCCATTGCACCCCTCCGCTGGACCACTGCACCAGCAGAGGGGAGTGCCGAAATCCGGGATTGGAGGATGGGTAAAGTATTTCTCTATGGCGACTTATGGCTCGTGTGCCCACAGAGAGGGCTCTGTGTGCCAGCTGTAGCACGTGTGCCATAGGTTCGCCATCACTGACCTAGACTGTTCCCTCATTATTTCCTCCATTATGTTAAGAAAGCCCTGGAATGTCATAAGGATTGTTTTCTCCCCACTAAGGACTTGTGTTGTACTCTCAAAGCTTCAGAGGACATAGACCACCAGACCTATAATGTCTGACTCTTCTCTGCCCAGAGGAACAGTCACACCAGTCCCAAATCATGGAGTGCCCTTTGCTGCCCCAGCACTTTTTCAAGCAGGTAAAGAGTAGAGTTCCATCAAGTTGTCACATTCTGGATTAGGTAGTGCAGTGACTATCCTCCTCTTTTTTTTGCCTGTTCTGCAAAGCTCACTGGCCTACCCACTGTGCTCAAGCTGCCCTGGCACCTCTCTGGCACACTTCATTGTATTAGGTATGTGTGTGTCTTCAATATCCTACAGAGCACCTCTACTAGGTTGATAGTGTGGGCCATACATTGCACCTCTTTCATCTTCCTAGCCTGCAGAGTTGCCACCATGTTTTCTCCATTGTCTGTGACAAACAGACCTTGCCTTTCTGTAGCTAGACTCCACTTCTGCAGCATGTGCCTCAGAGCCTCCTGAATGTTTTGGGCAGTGTACTGCCCTCCATCAAAGCCACATTCAACAGACCCCCACCTGTATCCTGCCCTTCTGTGTTGCCTGATGCCTGATGCCTCCGACTCCCATCAGTGCCCTGTCGGGGAGAGATAGGCATGTTTTGCACCCTGCCTGGTCTAGAGGTCACTTGTAAAATGTAGCACCAGTGCCATTGCCAAGTTCTGCTGTAGCTGTTGCCTGACACCCCTACTTCTGTAAAAATAGAGACTTTTTGTGGCTGTGGGATCTTGGGAGCTGTAGTCCAGAAAACAATGTTTTCCAATTTCTAGAAACCACATTAAAACATGTCCTGCTGTTATGAAGATACATTAATGGATGCTCCTCTCATTAAAGGCTTCTTCTGTCTGAAGGGCTACCCAAGGTGTGTCTGGGTTGAAGAGAAAGTAGTAAGAATGTAGATCACTTAGTACTATTGTGTTAATGTCACTTTTCTATGGCGATACTCTGTCTTCTAATGGTCTTTTTACAGTATAGATCTCCTTTTAGCATTTGGAAATTGTTTTAGTGCTTGTAGGGCTTTGCACTGTTTTATACAAGAGAGTGGTTTTACTTTTCGTTTTATTATCTGCTCCTGCTGGTTTTGCCTTGTTCTTATCTGATGTTTTGTATTGTTTTATTGCCATACTGTATTTTATGTTTTAAATTTGTACGCTACCCTAATAACTTTAGGTTTAGCTGAATTTCAAAACTACAAAGCTATAGAAACTATAAAAATATTTTAAAATTAAAGATAATATAAGCAGTACCTGGCTAACAGATCAGAGAGGCAGATACGGATGTCCCCTGGCCATAGTCTTCCTCACTGTGAAGTGCATGGTATTTCTATTTAAACTGCTAAAATTATTTTAAAATGTCATTCTATTGATTGATTGATTGATTGATTGATTTGATTTGATTTGTATCCCGCCCATCTGGTCTATATGACCATTCTATACATATACATTGGCTTATGTACATTTTATGAAGAGTATGTGGTTTGGTTTGGGTTTTGTTTTTTGTGATGATGGCATCATGTTTAAGTGGCATCCTATGTTGGTGATGGGACAGCAAGAACCCATTTTTGCAATTCAATAGCAACTTGAAGCTGGGAGATAAATGTCAGGCCTCAATTTAATTATAATGGTAGCTGTGGGCAAAGGAGTAATTGATAGTGGAGATGAGGATGTGGGGGAAGGTAGGCTTCCTAATCCTAGCATTTCAGATCAAAACTAGAGATGGGCATGAACCCTAGGTTTGGTGTGGTTCATTTATTGGCCAAACGCTGATCCAAGGTTTGGTGCTCAATCTTCTCCAGCAGGTGCCCCCTCAGAGGCCATGCCCAGAGGAAATGGGTGGGACGCTGCCACTGAATGGGGGCCTACCAGAGGGGGCAGAGCACCAAACTATGGATCAGCTGTTCAGCTGGTAAACAAACCATGCCAAACTGCCAATTTGTGCCCATCTCTAATCAAAACTTCTCAGTTCTTAGAACTGTGCAACACAGTGGATTAGATGTAACTTCCTCAAGGATAATGGAGCCTCCTGTTTCCCCAGAAATCCTTTGCCCCGCAATACTCTTTAGAGATAGCATCTTTATATATGATGCTTCATCTATGATGCTTGAAGTTTCTCCAGAAGGGCTTCTTAATTCCTGACAGTGGTGTAATGCTAGCAGCATAAGTTGAGAGGTTCATATAGTCATGTTCTGTTGCACACCAGCTGCATGATTCTGTGATAGGACATGCCAACTTCTTAACTTGCAGCAATTTACCATTGAACGTTTTTCCACTGGTGTTACACTGGCGGACATATGCAATATTCTGGTCACTGATGCAATAAAATGTAGGAATTACTGCGGCTAAGATTCTACGAAAGTGAAAGCAATAGCAAAACTAATAAATGTTCTGAAATTTTTTTGCTTGTGTTTTTTTGTTTGTTTATTAAATCTGCACAAATATCTATAATCTTCTATTCTAATAGTAGCATCACTGACTATGATATGGTATGTATTTCAGTGATACAATGTAAATTTAAAATATATTTGGATAAATCTCCAGTACCTGCATTGTACATAGACATAATTCTTTATGTACCTCTCTCTACAGGCGTAGGGCCTAGTGGCCCATATTCTTCTTATCCAATGCATACACTACTGACTTTTAAACAGAATGTAGGTAAATGAGAGCCATTTTTATATTTTCCCCAATAAACTATGTTTATTATGCCAGTTCTAATTATCATGCAATCTAGTGGTTTAAGGCTTATGTTTTCCACACCACTGGGCATCACAAACATTAAAGCATTTATATTGTCATTATACATCAATGTTTGCACTTGGTTATACATATATACAGAAATTATTCACACCTTGCTATTTTCTTCCTTTAAGCCAACATAATTTTACTGTGAAACCAGATTTTTAATAAATGGTATAAGAAATACAGCAAGGCACAATTTTTAAAAATGTGGGTTCTTTTTTTTCTGATTACCACCTCAAGAAGCATAGTAGAAAACCAAAATGTTGTACTTTATTCAGTAGAATGTTAACAGTTCTTAATATACAACACTATATGTAGCTGTTTCTTGAAGTGTTGCATAGATTAAATTTCTTTTGAAAACAAAAAGGATAAATTTTTGTTTATTTTGTGTAAGTTCAGTTATGTTGCATAAGAAGCAGTTGATTTCCTGTTGCTGCACTCAAATAAAGCTTCCATTCTAAACATAAAATATTTTCAACAATATGCATTATACACAGAAAATACCAAATTTGATACATAAAATAGGAGAATTAATGACATTTACACTTCTGAAATAGTGACCCAATTATTCTGTGGAATTGCAAAAAGTCATTTTAAAAAAACTTAGCGAGTGAGAGGTTGTACAGAGGCCTAGAGAGCTGGAAGGATAGGTTGTTTAGAGGTAGCTTGGGAGAGAAATCCATATGAAAAGAAATGGTCTTGCTACAAAGCAAAATGATAATTGAAAGACGACCAGCATATGCATCCTGGTCACAAAAGCCAGCATGGGCAAATCACATTTGGAAAGAAAATTTATCTTGGGAGTCAAGTGTAACAAAAGGCAGTGATACAATGGAATTAGAGGTCATCTCAGGGTTTAGAGGAGAAGTCTGCACCTGAAATGCAGCCAGGTTTCTAAAGGGAAGAAGAAAAAAGTAATACCATGTTACATAAAAGTACATTTTAATTTGCAAAACACAAGCTTTCCCAGAGCAATGAAAAATATAGTTGTGCTGTTATCTCATGACAATATTTTTATATGCAAAAATGACCATATATGAGCAACAAACCTGAGGTTTAAGTCACTATCAGAAAGATACCATTTCACTGATGTGCAAACCTCATTGATTTTTATAGAACAAGATTTAGTTCAAAAGGCACAGGGGAAATAATCAGGTTTGACCTTTTTCCTCAATCCCATCATTTCAGGTGTCTGTGAACTTACCTTCTCTACCTTTTGAAAGTATACCAATCAATAGGAATGCAAGAGTCAATAAAGGCCAACCAACCAATATAATCTCCAGTTCTAAACCCATTACCTGGAAGTAAGTCCCATTAAAACCAGATGGTCCTACTTTAAAGTAATCTATTTAGGCTTGGACTGTAAGTAGGTTACACAGGTTACATAAACAGAATCATAACCTATTTAGGTATCATTTATAGTTACCTTAACAGTGAGCCAAAAAAGGTGAGAGGGCTCACACAAACAATTCACAAATGCACAAAACAAGGCTTAATACTGCTTTAATTACAGGATCGGTAAATTTTCCTGACATAGAATTCTTCTGGCCTGGAATTTAGGGTTAACTCACAGAAGAGAGAGTCAAAGCTTATGATGAGGATTTTGATGGAATAACTGTTGGAATACAGCGAAGAGATTACTACAAAGTAGCCCTTTCAAGCATTTCCTAGGAGGCATTCCAGGCTTGCATTTTATGCCTTCCAAATTAAGTGGAAATTGCTGGATCTATCAAGTTACCTTCTTCTTTGATCTTATTTGCTGGAACTGACCTTTCTATTTTTACGGAAAATGTTTGCACAAAATTGTAAAAAGGAGAGGCAAATGGTTTAAACAAGCCACTAGCATGCAAAGTTTCTAGCGCATGCATTCTTAAAACTTGGAATGGACTTTTAATTTAATAAAAAGTCTCAATCTTGGCATGAGTTTCAAACTTCTTAAACTTGTATACTTGATGAAAATATAACTATTTCTACTTAACTGAAATTGGGCATTCTGGAATCGTTTGAAGCTATACATGTTTTTCTGATCCTAAACAATAAAAATAAACCAACAAAATAAACCATATTCTGTCAGTTGGCCTGGAAAATGAGTTGATAAAATAATCTAACTTGTATATATGGGCCTTCCTCAGTGAGGTCAATATGTAGAAAAGAGAGTTCAAGTTCTTTTGCAAGGAAGAACTGGGGGTGGTACTTTTGGGCAAGAAATATCCTTCATGGTATGACTGGAAGGAGATCCCTGGCATTTCCAGTAAAATGGGTTTGGTAGCAGATGGTGTGATGAGACCTCAGAATAGGACATGATGTGGGGCTAGAGATGAACAAATAGCTAGCCATGGTATAGTGTCCCTTTAAAGAATGAATGCTGGGTAGGTGGGACTCGTCAGCCCTGGGAGGCAGCCCATCTAGGAGAAGGAAAACTCCAATTCAAACCCCTACTGAGGTGCTGCCATCGTTGTCCATGCCATGAGGGAACAGGCCGGGTAGGTGGGACTTGTTCAGCCCTGGAAGTCAGCCCATCTACGGTAGGAGAAGGAAAACTCCGATTCCAAACCTCCACTGCCTTGTGGCTATAACCACTTATGGAAAAGGCTTCAGGAGTTAACCTCGAGGCAAAATTGGGAGCCGGAGTCCCGGAAGCAGTTCGTGTCATTCTGTCAACTCCTGCGACATCGCTGAAACCAGTTGTATTGGCTCTTGCCTTTCCACTGGACTATTTCAGTGACATGGAGAGGGGGGATTTGCTGGTTGTGTAACATATAATCCATATGATTTTACCCAGGCTTTGTGCCCTGGAGAGGACACTCTAGCCTTGTGTACAGTGTCAAAACACTAGACACTGTTCCAAGTACTCCATACAGAGCACGTTACCATAGTCTCTTGAGACTGAAGGATGCCTATGATGAAAGAATGAAGTCTATAGGTGGAAAAGACCAAAAGTAGTAATGAGAGCAAACTGTGATAATGGAAACATTAAAAATTATCGATTCTGTTGTGTCTTTTTTTTTTTTATAAGTTCTCACTTCTATGGAGAAACAAAATTGTACTAATTTATCTCCACCAATGAGTTGCATTGTGGCTGAATGGAGAAAATTATAACTCCTGTATTGAACTTTTTGAGGCTGCTTAAAGAATTGTTATTTCCTTCCTTTAATGGTCAGTTTTATAACACATTGATGAAAGAAACAGATTCCCACTTAGATAAATTCAGCAGCAAAATATATTTGTTCACAACAGCTTTCCTCTGGCTTGCAGCTGGAGCAGAAATCATATGAAATTAGTTGAGCTACATTAGTAAATATGCATACTGTCACCTTTGCGAACTGAGTTTATTTTTAGGGTTTACATATACCATAGATAATTTTTCTCTTAAGTATCACAGCACCACATAAAATCACACATTTTAATGAGCTTACAGCACAGGTGCTCCAGGAAAAAAAAAGGTGTTTGCCATTTATCTTTCAAATTAAATAATGTGTTTTTAAATAGTAACTTTTTTCATAATACACTTATGGGAACAACATTTATCTGTCACATTTTAAGAGATGTATTAGTAATAAATGTAAATTACCTTTGGAAAATCAGTAATTAGACTCATCAAAAAAATAAACAATCTGCCACCAAAAAGATAATCTTTAGCATAGTTAAGTATAATAACTGTTATTTGAATAAGTTAACAAATTAGGGTAGATTGCCTCTAATTCATCTCCCATAGCATGAAAGATGAAGCTAAAGTATCAGCTAAGCTCTTGCAACAGGGGGGAAGGAACTCTTAGAATTTAGTAAAAAAAAACACAGATCCCATTGCTTGAAGCACATTGTTTCTTTTTACTGTCTTGAGTTAAGACCCCTGATCCAGGGCTCTATAACAATGCACACAATGGACCTGTACTCCTGTACTTGTCACTTAAATTTATGAGAGTAGTTCTGTTTCTTTAAAAGTATGTGTGAGCACAATAAACAGGGAAGCCCATGGGAGTGAAGAACAATGGTGCACAGACATCATCCACCAAGCACCTTATTCTATAGGAGAGGGAATCTGGCAGCTCCTTCATAGGAACATAAGAAGAATGATTGATTGGTCTATCTAGCCCAATATTGTAAACTCTGACTGGCAGTTGCTATCCAGGGTTTCAAGTGTGGATCCAGTCCTACCTGAACACATTGGTATTCCTTGGTAGTCTCACATCCAAGTACTAACCTTGCTTAGCTTCTGAAATCAGACAATATTAGGTGTGTTCAAGGTGATATGGTGACCTATCATGCCAATAGTGGTTGCAACCAAAGCATTTGGTGGACAAGATAAAAGACAAATGTGTGCAGAGCCAGTTCCTCCTGTCTTCTCTCCCCACTCTCTCTCTTTGCCATCCCCTTTGTCACCCCCTTTTCAATCTTCGTCCCCTTTCCTACCTACTGTTCATTGAGGTGCTGGGAAAAAGTTTTGCTAGAGGCTTGAGTTGATTGCTTTTGAATGGAAGCATGGTTTTGTAACAGCAGAGAATGTGCTACTTCAAATCATCTATTCACAAATAAAGAGAAGCTTTGTGAGAGTTCCCTTCCTTGATGTTCCACTACTTGTGGGAGTCCTAACAGCACCATTTGTTAATATTAGTATTTCACAAATATTTATGCATCTAAATTTCCCTGGAATAAATGGTGTTTCTATATTGCTACTGTAAACAATGTTAATTAAAGTTATTAAAATACAATATTAACAAACCAGATTATTATGATCCAGCTCAAGACACAAAAAAGTAGGCACCCTAGGAATTTATGGAGGTGGCTATGAGCTGACAACACTGAAAACCAAGGAAGTACAGAGGAATAGAGGTTGTCTCCAAAATACCATTTTTAAAAACAGACAGCTGCCCCAACTTTGCTCAAATCACAGTTTTATAAGGCATTTATCACTTGTTCCTCCTTCAAATGGAGAGCAACAAAAATTATATCCACAGGAAAGCAATGCAGTGCATGTAGTTGATGTTCACATTTGAATGCACACCCAGTTTCTATCCTTAGTTCCTGATCTAGCAAGCAATTTGTATATGGATTCTTTGTGATGGTGTCTCAACTTCAAAATACAGATTCATGACCCAGCCCTACGAATGGTTTTTCATTGACTGTTGTTCCTTCTAAGACTTAGAGCAACAAGGATACATTAACCCACAGCTATGAGACCATGAGATATTTATTCTGCAGTGTGTGTGTGTGGGGGAATGCTATAGTTACTTCCACTTGCAAGGTTCTAATAGAGGAGCAGAAGAATACAGCATTTCCAACTGAAATCATGAAAGTGTGATATTTCAGTAGGGCAGCTGGTACTGTACTTAAGTATCATGGCAAAAGACTAAACTGGACCTGTAGGTAGACTGGACCTGGCATGTTGCTCCCTTTTGCACTCCTTTCAGCATGTCAGGTAACTCAGAATTTAGACAGTTGCTGGACACCTCCTCTTTCTTACTCTCTTTACATATTGCCATGTTTGTCTGTGCAAGCATTCTGGACAAAAAACCCCAACCAAAACAGAAGCAAAGAACCAAGAGCCAAAAACATTGTGGTATCTTAATTGCTATATTTTAATGTGAACTTTTAGAAATTGACCAGATCCAGATCACGTTAGTCTTTTAAGGTGTTAGTCTTTTAAGGTGCCACAATGTTTTCGGCTTTCTAGTTAGTTTGTTTTTGTCTGATTGGCTATCTTAAAAATCAACAGGTCATATCTTTGAGTAGAACTCATAAGGCTATGCAACAAAAAAAGCCCAGCACAACACCTACAGAATACTAACTAGAATTCTAATGATGTCTGTTTAAGATTTGCATAACTTGCCACATCTAATTGCAGCTAACTAAGTCTGTAAACTCCTTCATGGATTGCTGCCTTGTCCTGGTGAAGG